TGGACTGGGCAGAGATGGGGGGTTACTGGGATGGACTGGGAGAGACTGGGATGGGAACTGGGATGGACTGGGAGGAACTGGGATGGACTGGGATGGACGGGGCAGAGATGGGGGGTTACTGGGATGGACTGGGAGAGACTGGGATGGGAACTGGGATGGACTGGGCTGGACTGGGACGGGAACAGGGATGGGAACCGGGAGGGACTGGGTTGGACTGGGATGGATGGGACAGAGATGGGGGTTACTGGTCCATACTGGTCCATACTGGTCTGTACTGGTCCATACCGGTCCATACTGGTCTGTACTGGTCCATACCGGTCCGTACTGGTCTGAACTGGTCCGTACTGGTCCCCCCAGCCGCCTCCTCCGTCCGCTGCGCCTCCGGCTCCGGGTCCCGGCTGGAGCCGCTGCCGGCGGGGGTCGATCCCTGCAAGGACCCCCCGGGAATTCTGAGCCCCCAGCGGGGGGGGGACACGGACACGGATCCCGGAGATCCCGGAGATCCCGGAGATCCCGGATCCTACGGGGGCAACTCGGGATCCTACGGAGGCTCCGGATCCTCTGGGGGTAGACCGGGATCCTCTGGAAGCTCGGGATCCTATGGAGGCAACTCTGGATCCTACGGGGGATCGGGATCCTCCGGGGGCAGACCGGGATCCTCGGGAGGGGGATCGGGATCCTACGGAAGCTCTGGATCCTACGGGGGATCGGGATCCTATGGAAGCTCCGGGTCCTACGGGGGCAACTCGGGATCCTCCGGGGGCAGACCAGGATCCTCTGGAGGTGGATCGGGATCCTACGGAAGCGGATCAGGATCCTATGGAAGCGGATCGGGATCCTATGGAAGCGGATCAGGATCCTATGGAGGATCGGGATCCTACGGAGGCTCCGGATCCTCCGGGGGCAGACCGGGATCCTCGGGAGGCGGATCGGGATCCTCCGGGGGGGGATCGGGGTCCTCCGGCGATTCGGGATCCTACGGACTCGGGTCCTACGGGGGCGGATCGGGATCGGGGAGACCCGAAGTGGGGAGACCGGGATCGGGCAGACCTGGATCGGGCAGACCTGGATCCCAGGGGGGAATTGGATCCGGGTCAGGGAGACCCGGATCAGGGAGACCGGGATTGGGGAGACCTGGATCCCAGGGGGGAATTGGATCTGGGTCAGGGAGACCTGGATCAGGGAGACCGGGATTGGGGAGACCTGGATCAGGCAGACCCGGATCAGGCAGACCCGGATCCCAGGGGGGAATTGGATCGGGCAGACCTGGATCAGGATCAGGATCAGGATCAGGCAACGGATCCCAAGCCGGAGGCGGATCCGGATCCCACGGGGGCCTGGATTCCTACGGGGATGACTCGGGATCCTACGGAGACAACTCGGGATCCTACGGAGACAACTCGGGATCCTACGGACTGCCCGAGTCCTACGGGGGCGGATCGGGATCCTACGGAGGGTCGGGATCCTATGGAGGGTCGGGATCCTCTGGCAGACCAGGATCCTACGGGGGCGGATCAGGATCCTATGGAGGGTCGGGATCCTACGGAGGAGGGTCAGGATCCTATGGGGGCAGACCAGGATCCTCTGGGGGTGGACAGGGATCCTATGGAGGGTCAGGATCCTACGGAGGAGGGTCGGGATCCTATGGAAGACCGGGATCCTACGGGGGCGGATCGGGATCCTATGGAGGGTCGGGATCCTACGGGGGCGGATCGGGATCCTCTGGAAGACCAGGATCCTACGGGGGTGGACAGGGATCCTATGGAGGAGGGTCAGGATCCTATGGGGGTGGACAGGGATCCTACGGAGGGTCGGGATCCTCTGGAAGACCGGGATCCTCTGGGGGTGGACAGGGATCCTACGGAGGGTCAGGGTCCTATGGAGGAGGGTCGGGATCCTACGGGGGTGGATCAGGATCCTATGGAGGGCCGGGATCCTACGGAGGGTCAGGATCCTCTGGAAGACCAGGATCCTACGGGGGTGGATCAGGATCCTATGGAGGGTCGGGATCCTACGGAGGAGGGTCGGGATCCTATGGAGGGTTGGGATCCTACGGAGGAGGGCCGGGATCCTACGGAGGGCCGGGATCCTCGGGGGGTGTCCAGCGCCCCGGGTACAAGAATCCCGGGATCCCGTTTGTGCCGGGGCTGCGGGATCCTGCCCGGATCGGGGGGTACATCCCGGTCCGACGGGGCCCCTCCGGGGGGGGATCCAACCTGGGATCGGGGGGATCCAACCCGGGATCGGGGTCCGGGGCCGGATCCACCTCCGGGACGGGATCTTACGGATCCAGGGAAGGATCCAGGGAGGGATCCAGGGAAGGATCCGACCCCTCCGGCTGCGGGGGGTGCAGGGCCCTGCCCGTCAGAGCGGGAATGCGGCGAAGCCCCTCCATCAGGACGTCCAGCACTGCATTATCAGTCTAACGCAAGATCGATAGGAAACGATCTAGGACAGAAGAGCGCCGTCGAGAGGAGAGCGCCGAGAGGAAGCAGAGAGAGCGACCGACACGAGCAGCACGGAGCAGAGTAAGCACGCGATGAGGATCAGATTGTGTGTCACAGAAGAGATATAAGACCCCAAAGGTGACCCCAAAGGTGACCCCGGCTGTGTCCCGGTACTGGTTGAACTGGTGGGACTGGTCCCTGCCCACGGGGGGACACTGGGGACAAACGGGGAGCACTGGGGACAAACTGGGACTGGGATGGGGGACACTGGGAATGGGATGGGGGACACTGGGGACAAACTGGGAGTGGATTGGGGACACTGGGAATGGGATGGGGGACACTGGGGACAAACTGGGAGCACTGGGGACAAACTGGGAGTGGATTGGGGACACTGGGATGGGGACAACTGGGGGCAACTGGGGGTAACTGGGCAGGGGTGGGGACATCACCCAGTTTGACCCCAAAAGGGCCCAGTTTGACCCCAAAGAGGCCCCGCCCCCCCCCCCACGGCCTCACCTGAACCCCAGGTGGCCCCTCCCCCACCCCAGGGGCGAGGCCGGAACCGCGGGGGGAGGGGAAGGGCCCCTCCCCCCCTCACCACCACCAAACCAGTGCTCCCAGTGCTCCCAGTACGGCCGGTCCCGGCCTCGCCCCCTCCCAGCCCACGGGGACCCCCCGAACCGGTCCGATCCCCTCCCCCACCCCCCTTTAAGAGCCGGGGGGCCCTCCCAGTGCTCCCAGTGCTCCCAGTGCCATCCCAGTGCTCCCCCAGTGCTCCCCCAGTGCTCCCAGTGCTGCGCCGGAGTCAGCGGGACCAGTGACAGGTAAGGACCCCCCCAAATACTGGGAGGGACTGGGAGCACTGGGGGGGGCACTGGGGGGGCACTGAGAGGGACTGGGGTGCACTGGGAGGGACTGGGGGGCACTGGGAGGACACTGGGGGGGACTGAGAGGGACTGGGGGGCACTGGGGGGGCACTGGGAGCACTGGGGGGGCACTGGAAGGGACTGGGAGGGCACTGGGAGTTACTGGGAGGGCACTGGGGGGCACTGGGAGCACTGGGGGGTGCTGGGGGGTACTGGGAGGGACTGGGGGGTCACTGGGAGCACTGGGGGGCACTGGGGGGCACTGGGGTCTGACCCCTCCCCCTTGTGCCCTCCACCCCCCACCAGGAAGCCCCGGACGTCTTTCCTAGAACCCTCCCCCCCCCCTGCCCCCCCCGGGACCCCCCCGGGCCGACCCCGACCCCTCCCCCCCCGACCCCGCCCCTCCCCCCCCCGGGCTCCCCCTCGCGCCGTGGCCCCCCCTGCCCGACTGGGAGGGGGGAGGGGGCGGGGACACCCCCGTGACGTCATCGGGGGGGACATCGAGGGGGGGGACATCGGGGGGCAACCAGTGACCCCCAAAATGGGGGGGGAGGGGCAAAGACCTCGGGGGAGGGGGGCCAAGAGGAGCCACCACGAACCTGGACCCCAAAATGTCCCCAAATGTCCCCAAGAAGAGCCACCGGTGCCCCGGACCCCAAAATGTCCCCAAATGTCCCCAAGAAGAGCCACCACCCCCCTGGACCCCCAAAATGTCCCCAAGAAGAGCCACCGGTGCCCTGGACCCCAAAAACGTCCCAGGAAGAGCCACCACCAACCTGGACCCCCAAATGTCCCCAAGAAGAGCCACCACCGGTGTCCTGGACCCCCCCGGACCTCGAGGTGGCCCCAAGAAGAGCCGGCAGCGCCCTCGACCCCCCAAATGTCCCCAAATGTCCCCAAGAAAAAAAAAAGAGCCACGACGCTGCAGCTCCACCTTTACTGGGGACGGGGGGGGACATCGGGGGGGGACATCGGGGGGGGGGACACAGGGACAGGTTGGGAATACTGGGACAGGTTGGGGACATTGGGACAGGTTGGGGACATCGGGGTGGGGACATTGGGACAGGAGGGGACAGGTTGGGGACATCGGGACGGGTTGGGGACATCGGGGTGGGGACACAGGGACAGGTTGGGGACATCGGGGACACGGGGACACGGTGGCAGCGCCCCGGGCCCGGGACGTCCCCCCCGGTGTCACGGCCACTCCCGCGGCTCCTCCGAGTGTCCCCAACCTGGAGAGGGGACACGGTGAGGGACAGGGCGGGACACTCGCCCCCCCCGTGTCCCCGAAGTCCCTCCGTGTCCCCGAGGTGTCCCCGAGGTCCCCGCTGTCCCCTCACCGTGGCTGTCGCTGTTCCTGGTGGCCCCGGACGTGTCCTGGCTCGCGGTGTCCCCGATGTCCCCAAGGCTCCTCCTCGGCCACTCCTGGACCGGGGGACGTCCCCGGGGACGTGTCCCTTGTCCTTGGGGACCTGTCCCCTGTCCTTGGGGACCTGTCCCTTGTCCCCGGAGACCTGTCCCCTGTCCTTGGGGACCTGTCCCCTGTCCCCGGAGACCTGTCCCCTGTCCTTGGGGACCTGTCCCCTGTCCCTGGAGACCTGTCCCCTGT